GCTTGTGTGGCCTCACGAGTGGGAAAGGGCAGCCGGGTGGCAAGAGCCCAGGGGTGCCTTCGATCAGCTGTTCGCGCCCACAAGGGAGATGCCTCTTGCTGGGGAACATACTGGTGCCCTGTGCTCCCTGAGCTCACGGCTGATTGCGTATATGAGGGCTTGGGGAGGTGTTTTCTTCTTCATTCAGCAAGTGAAGCAGGAGTTTTTCCCCCCCTTTCCCCGCTCCCATCTGCCGGCTGAGCTGCTCACGGGATGTTCCTGAGCCTACCTCGGCGTGAAAACGACTGAAAAAAAAACCCTTGGAATGTGTTTGGGCTCATTAGAGCTGACGGGACGGAGGAGCCGCAACCTCTTCGCCCCACCCAGCTGCAGCCAGGGGGGGGGCAGAGAGATGTGGGGAGCCCTGCCCTCGAGAATTTCGTACCGAAGCGGCAGAGATGCCCGCCGAGGAAGAGGTGACAGTGACAGATGCGGGAAGCAAAGCCGGGTCTCTTTGCTGCCTGGCTGGAGGCCTAATCGCTGCACTCTGCTGCTATTTGGGAACCCTCTCGGGGCGGAGGGCATCGCCGAGACGGAAAGAGCAGGCGGATGCTAATGGAGGAGGCTGTTAGTGGGGTGGACTTGCGGTCGGCTGCAGCTTGGGGAAACGGCCTCCAGGGCGCTCGGCGGGCGTTTGCGAGCTGCTCTGCCGCTTTGGCGGGGGTCGAATTCAGCTCCTGGAGCGGAGCTGGGTCGCCCACCGTAGGACGTGGTCCGGATCGGGCAAACCAGGCTGGGCAAGCTGCTTCCTTTCCATCCTGCCCGGGAGGCTCCCTGGACTCCCAACTGGAGTTAAACCTCTCACCCCATCGTGCTGCTGCGCTGCAAACTCCTCGTTGGCTTTACCCAGCGCCCCGCAGCAGGCAGCGATCTCACTGTGCTGAAGTGTCCGCTGAGGATTTCATCGATTTCTTTTGTTGTTTTTTCTTCTTTTTTTTTTTTTTTACTGTCGCTTTTAGACCACATTTTTAAACCCAGCCTTCTCATCCAAAAGTACACCCTAGCCGCATGTTTTCCTTGGCTTTTCGGCCGCGAAAGGCGGCAGACGTGGCTTCGCAGAGGACGGAGGCAGGTTGCTCGTGGT